CACTGTTGGTTTCCTGTATATTTTCCTTTATTTCACTTTGGGTAGCTTTCATTTGTTCCTTCATTTTACGACTGAGCTCAATCAGTTCTGTGAGCATCCTGATTACCAGAGTTTTGAAATCTGTGTCAAGTAGGTTGGCTATCCCTCATTGCTTAGCTCTTTTTCTGGAGTTTTAATCTGCTCTTTCATTTGGGCCATATTTTTTTGTCTCAGTACACCTGTTATATTTTTAGGGGGCTGAGCCTTAGATATTTGCCAGGGTGGGGCAGCCCTCTCTGCTGTGTTGTGGCACTGTCTTGGGCAACAAGGCAGAGGGAACAATTCTGTTCAACTTGCTCCTCTCTAGCTTCCACTTTCTAACAAATTCGTATGAGACTAGGAGTTTCTCCCGCTGTGGAATCCCCATAGTAGTTCACAGCTATCTTTGAGTCTTTAGTTTCCCATTTAGCCAGTCCCACCTCGCCTGCTTGGTCTGCTGCCTTGCCGCATGTCTCCTCCCCTCAGCTGCTTGTCTTCCCATGTCTGCCTCTCCAGATGATCCAGTTGAGTGTTTCTTTAACTCCTTGGTTGTCAAGAGTTCTGTGCAGTTTAATTTTCTGGCACTTCTGGTTGTTTGTTGTTTTTAGATTGGTTGTTATCCTTTTGGTTGTGCAAGGAAGTGAAGTGTTTCTACCTATACCTCCATCTTGGCTGGAACTCCTCTCTTTGTGAAGTTTTAATCTGTTCTTCATTTGGACCGTATTTCTTTGTGTTGGCGTACCTGTTATGTTGTAAGAACACCAGCCTTATGTATTCACCAAGGCAAGGCAACCCACTTTACTTGGTTGTGGCACTGTATGTGGGGGAGCGGTCCTAGAGGGAATAATGCCACTTGCCTGCTTGCTTGGCTCTTGCCCTACTTTCCATCACTTCCCTTGCTTCTCACAAGTTGATTTTGTCTTTCAGGTGCTGATTCCTGGGTGGCTGGACTTGTGTACATTCTAGGAATCCACAGGTCTCTCCAATGGACTCTTCTGTGAGAGTGGGAGTTTCTCCAGCTGCTGCAACCCCCATAGGTTTTTATAGCCACAGGTTTTGAGGCTTTATTTTCCTGTGCTGGAACCCTGGGTTGTGCAGTTTGTCTCATTCTCCAGTTGTTCTTCCTGGCTTATCTGCATGCGAAAGTGGGATATCCCAGTCCACCAGCTGACACCTTCCCCACCCCTGTCTGTCAGCCACGCCTTATTGTGTGTCCTTGCCACCCTGGCTTCCTGGCTCCAACCTCTCCTACCAGTCTGGATGAATGTTTAATTCCTTGGTTGTTGGATTTGTTTTTGAAGTGGTTGTTATCCTTCTTTTGTTTATGTGAGGAAGTGATGTGTATCTACCTACACCTCCTTCTTGGCTGGAACCTCTAAAATCTTGAACCATTTTTAATAAGCTTTTACTAGTAAACATCATAGTTCAAGTGTAATATTGGATCAATCTTCACTTACACACAATCCTGACACCATCACCATAGTCGCTACTGTCTTTTACTGTCGGGAATTAAATGGGCATCCCAGAGATGCCCATTTTCATCTCTCCTACGCTTCGTACCTCTCTAAGTAAACATTGAGTTACATTCCATTCTAATAGATTAATTCGCAATTTCTTAAATTTATATGATGAGAATAGTATTTTTATGCTTTCATTTACACTGCATGTGTAATTGGAGTTTTTTTAATGGTATGTTAGTAGGTCATCTGTTTTTGCTGAGAAATAGTCTTATGTTTGAAGAAAGCACTGTGAGTATATCCATTTAATTTGGTTATTTCTCTTTTTTGACTTTAATGCTGGTATAAATATTGGTTTATAATTTTTTATATGGACATAAGTTTCATTTGCCTTTGTCAGTAACTCTTTGGACAGCCTGAGTCATAGGGGAGGTAAATGTTTAACTTAGAAAGATTAGCAATTTGTTATCAAAATCGATTGTACTTTTTGCGTAATTCTAGCAGTGCATGAGGGATTCACTTTCTTCACATCCTAGAAAGTACTTGGTTTGGTTAGTTGTTTATTCATTTAAATTTTTAAAAAAAGATTTTATTTCTTTACGTTTAGAGGGGAAGGGAGGGAGAAAGGGAGAGAAACATCAATGTGTGGTTGTCTTTCACAGTGCCCTTATTATGGACCTAGACTGCAACCTATGCATGTGCCTTCACCGGGAATTGAATCAGTGACCTTTGGTTCACAGGCCAGCACTCAACTGCTAAGTCACACCAGCCAGTGCTAAACTTTTTTTTTCAATATTGCAGTTCTACCTCACTGTTTTTGGATTGTATGTTTCTAAGGATTCATAGTAACCTTTTTTTCATATGTATATTTGCTATTTCTCTATGTTTGCTAAGTTGTCTGAGCCTATGTTCTGTCTAATCTGATAGGAGTTGGGGGAGTTTTTTATAATTAAAGGACATAAAAATAAAGATCCATGGTGAAATTTCAATCATTTGTTGCCTTTTTTACCGTATTAAGTAAATGTTTTTTGTGTTGGACTATTATGTTCAATTCCTTTTTACTTTTCTTTTATGTTGTGCACAATAAAATTGACATTCATTTTAACTTTGACTATTATTGTTTTTTATTATTTTCAAAATCTAGTCATTTCATAATTAAGCTTTTGCTTTCTAGTATTTTCCATTTTTCTGGCCTTCTGTCATGAGGGTTTTTGTGTTGGAACAGGACTCAAGGAATCCACATGGCATCAGGATGGGTAGCATGTTTTGGAGTCTGAAAGCACAGTGCAGAGAAATGGAAGCCATTGATCAAACTCACGACGCCCTGGGTCAGGCACCCATGATTTTAATCCCAGCATACCAAATATCTTTGGGACTCACACAAAATGTCCCTCTTGTGGACTCAGAGTCAGTTTTCTCCTTTGTGAAATGAATATCTGGTATATCTACATCCTCGAGGTGTTGGAGGAGGTGAAGTACTAAAGTGTCCTTTTGCAGTGCAGCAGCTATGTCTCCAACCTCTTGGGTTGGAGGAACTCCTATTTCTGCCCTCAGAGATACTCCCAAACCAGGCACTCCTCACTCCCCCAGTGTCCTCAAACACCTTATTTGGGGGTGTGCATTTACTGCTGATCCACCTATAGGAAGGCAGGTACTTTTGGTGCTGACCCCTCAGTGTGCTATCCCAATCAGGGAATATCCTGGTGACTTGCTAGAGCTCCCTGAATCTAAGTTGGCCGAATATGATGTGCAGATGGAGGTGGTCTTATCTTGGCCTTTGAAGATCATTGAAAGTAACCAAGTACTTGTCTTTGAAAGGATTTTAGGGTCTTCATTTCCACATTTTCTCTTTTGTTACAACAACCTTGGAAATGGAAACTGATACCATATGGCTTGAATCATTCAGGATTAAATAAATGAATGAAGTTCTCCAAGTTCACTCAACAGATAAATGTCAGATTCAAGAGGCTGGATTTTAACTCAGTATTTTGGCTCCAGAGCCACAGTCTCCACCACAAATGTGAAGCTTTCACTGGTGCACATACTCGGCCTCATGGTGTATGGTCTTCACCAGGGATGCTCAGCTGAAGCTTGTCTTTGCATTGGTGCAGTTATCATGATCTTCTATTTTCCTAAAATTTCAGAACACATCGTTTGCCCTTCTGTCTCCACTGGAATGACATCATCTATCAGCTCCTGTGGTTTTTTCAGAGGAACATTTTTTTGAGGCTGAGTTACAATTTCTCTGCCTTTTCTTTGATCTCAGCATGGAGTTTGACACTCAGGAGACCTGTATAATTTGGGCTGGGTCTCTGTACCCAACTTTTCTGAACTCATGCGTTCCTTTGCAGCCTACTTTTGTCTGCACAAGTGAAGTTGGTTTTGAAATGTAGTTTTTGTTCATTTTGTTTTTAACAGTAACTGACCCCAGTGCCCAGCACATACTGGCCACAACTGAGATACAAATACACATTTTAGGATACAATACATATATAATGAAAAATAAACGTAGGTCGTTTGTAAGAGGAAAGTGAGCAAGTTCACAGGTTCAAGTTTCCTAAGCATAGGCCTGGTGTCAGGTCAGTTTCGGGCATTGTTCAGCCTCATTCATTGAATTCTACATCACTTTCCATTATTAGCTCTGAATATTTAAAAGGGAAAGCTGTTCACGGATTATTGATTTTTAATATTCATTGCATATATATATATATATATATATATATATATATATATATATACACCCATAATTAGTTCTTTATAATATTTCATGTGATTCTAAAAAATTATTGGAACTATACATAGGTCAACTTCCTTTATAAGGCTATACTTCTAAATATAATTTAGAAATGTGTTCATAGTCTTACCACATAGAGAATACCTGAAACTTCTCACCTGATGCCTTCAATATGCCTGTAAAAGACATTTTCTTCTACTATGATAATTATAATAACGTTTTCACATTAACAAAAACACCAGTAACTGTCGGTGTTGTCAAGCATTTAGAAAAGATTGATTTTGAATTGTTCAAAGTATAATTTATACAGTAGACTTTCATTTAATGTTTATATTATGTGTTAGTATTTTTGTTTCAAATGTATGTCCTACAGTCTTGTGTTATATCTGTCATGTACTTATGATGGTGTAAGTAGGTCATTTGTGTTATAAAATTGTCCACCCTAATTCAGGAATACCTCTTTTATTATGACGGTCTGTATTGGGCTCACAGATGTGTTTTTATGAACACGGACTCAAGACCCTTCACCGGGAAAAGATGACAAATTTCTTTAGCCGTTTTCAGGATGTATTTTTCATGAGGACTTGTCATTTCCCATACGCCTTAACGGCGGATCTTGGTCTTCTCTGCTGGAGTGATGTAGGAACACTCCTGATCCTTGCTGTGGACTCTGACCCACGTTATCTAAAGTACCCTGTGTTGAATACCGCCAGAAGCCTAGCCAATGAAGGGTCAGGAGAGGCGTTTCCAGTATCGCGTACACGGAGGGGGGCGGAACTTCCGGGGCCCTCCTCACCGTCGACATTTTGCCTCAGCCGTAGTCCAGTTAAATAAATCCTCAGAAGCTCCACATCACTGGAGTCTGGTGGAGATGAGGGGACGGGGAAGGCGCCAGAGTGGGGGTCCACACAGAATATCGGCAACTAAGAAGCTGGGCGATGCTGCCTGGGAGATTGGTGCCGGCGCCGGAATGGGGGCCGCCATATCGGGGGCGGTCTCCTCTCCCTCTACCACTGTTAGGCCTCGCCCACAATGTCCGTTTGTGACCTCGCTGAGGTGCCGGACTGAGGTAAGTGCGTGTCCTCTCACACGTCCACCCCCATCACCGAACACTGTATATCCCCGTGTCCGGGACCCTCGGCAATAACAGTGAAAAAGCCTCACTTGAGATAGTAGTGTTGTGGTTTCTTAGGACCCAGCAAGTGAAGTGCAGAGTGGACAGGAATCATTGCTACCTGAAATTCCCATGCGGATCTGGGTGGTGAATTTTGAAGCAAAGGTCAGAGGCAGGCAGGGAGGACGCAAAACCTCATTGCAGGCTTTCCTGGGCTGTGGGATCCGTGAGAAAACGGGTTGGGTTGGGTCCTGCTGGAACCTGTCAAGCACTCTACATGTGCCTACTTGGGGTGTGAATCCTGGGCAGGAAGATGTTAGAGCTGAGGGAGTGAACTTGAAATGATGTGAAGGATGCAGACATTCCTTAACGGTATGCACAAGTAGAGGAATCTTAAACATGATGGTCCTGTGTACTTTGTGTGGGGACTTTGTGTGGGGACTTCAGGGTGCAGCTTAAGCTCATGTTTGGCTGTGTCTTGTAGGCATGATCTGGGAGACTCAGTGATATTGCTTGTCAGGAAGGATGGGACCCTGCACTCATGGCCCTAGGCTTAGATGGCATTTTTCTGCTGTTGCCACCGTCCAGAAGCTCACCTGCTGTTGCTAAAGGTGATAAGGTGATTAATAGGACTGTGGTTAGAAAGCAGCCAGCACTGGCATTAGAGCTTGGTGTGCACACTGACCTGGGAGCCCTGCAGTAAATTGAGCGTGGGAAAGATTTCTAAAAAAATAGGATTGTGGTTCTCAGACAGCTCTGGCTTCATTTGTCTCCCTTTTGCCAGGTTGGTGTGACTTTTGCAGACATTGCCCTGTACTTCTCTAAGAAAGAATGGTACCTCCTTGATGAGGATCAGAGACGCCTGTACCTGGATGTGATGCTGGAGAACTTTGAACTTATATCCTCACTGGGTAAGACCCTCACTCTCCTTAGTGATGTGGACTTGGCTTTGCATTTCCCGTGTCTGCTATTCTCTAGGGGGTGCTCTCTACTCATCTGTGGACTACAAGCACTGCTTGATTTTCCTGTTTTCTGAGTAGCTGCTTTATTTGGTAGGGCTGGTTTTTGCATTGTCCTTTTGTCTCCCTGTAATACCAGTATGTGTTGTAGTGAACTAATAGGGAAAGATTTGTGCTTTGTAGTGTTGCAGGGAGCCTAATGAATATCACCTTGAATATCACCTTGAGGAAAAGCATTTTTTAATCCTGTTCCTCATATATACAATCTTTTTTGCAAAATTTTCTCGACATTTTTTAGCTAACATGTCCCTTGTTTATTTTATATATTAATTCCTTTTCATATACAAGTGCATGCTCTTACATTTGTGTAATTGTGCATTGTACATATTGTGGCCTTGTTTCCTTCCTTTTTGTTTGTTTGTTTTTCTTTTTTCTTTTTTTTTTTACAAATTCAATGTTTTTGACAATGCAGCATTCAGCAAGTTTAGTGTTGCCATTTTTTCAACAGGCTTAGATTCTTATAACCAGTGTTTGGTGATAACTATTTTTAATTATGTGTAGTTTCTATAATTCTTTTTTTTCTTCTTTTAAAAGTGTATTTTATTGATTATACTGATGCAGTTGTCCCAATTTTTCCTCCTTTGCCCTCCTTCTGCCTGGTATCCCACTACCCTCTAGCAATCCCCTCCCTTAGTTCATGTCCATGGGTCATGCATATAAGTTCTTTGGCCACTCCATTTCCTATACTGTTCTTAACATCCCCCTGTTTATTTCATACCTACCATTGTATACCTCTTGGGCCCTGCACCTTCCCCCTCCATTCTTCTCCTTCCCTTTGTCAGCTGATAACCCTTGAAATGATCTCTGTATCTATGATTTTGTTGCTGTCCTGCTTGTTTGCTTAGTTTGTTTTCTTAGATTCAGTTGTGTATAGTTATACATCTGTTGCCATTTTAATGTTCATAGTTTTGATCTTTTTATTACATAGTTCCCTTTAACATTTTATGTAATAATGGCTTGGTAATGATGAACTCCTTTAGTTTTATCATGTCTGGGAAGCACTTCATCTGTGCTTCACATCTAAATGATAGCTTTGCTTTTCATCACTCTGAATACTTCTTGCCAGTCCTTTCTAGCCTGCAAGGTATCATTTGAGAAATCAGGTAACAGTCTTAAGGGAACTCCTTTGTAGTTAACTCTCTGCTTTTCTCTTGCTGCTTTTAAGATTCTCTCTTTAACCTTTGGAATTTTATTTATGTGACCTGGTGTGGTCCTCTTGTGGTCCTCTTTTGGTTGTTTGAGACTGTGCCTCCTGGCCTTATATTTCTATATCCTTCGCCAAATACGGAAGTTTTCTTTCATTATTTTTGTCAATCAGTTTGCAGTGTCTTGCTCTTTCCCTTCTCTTTCTGGCACCCCAATGATTTGGATGTTTGTACATTTGGAGATGTCCCAGAAGCTCCTTACTCTATTCTCTTTTTTAAAAAATTCTGATTTCTTCTTGTTCTGATTGAATGCTCCCTCCACTCTTGGTTCCCTGTGCATTTTTTTTTGTTTCACTTAATGGCATCTTCATTTTTGCCTGAGTCTTTTTTCTTTTATTGCATTACCCTATGATTTGGAGTTTCATTCTGTTGTTTCATTTGGACCATATTTCACTGTCTCCTCAATTTGGCAGCCTCCATGTGTTTGTTTTTGTGTATTAGGTAGAGCTGCTTGGACACCCTGTCTTAGTAGCCTGGGGTATTGTAGAAAAGGCACCTGTAAATTGTGTGGGGTGGAGCCTTAGATAGTTGCCAGGGCAGAACAACCCATTTCACTGCATTGTACCTCTTCGTATCCTCTCCTCTCCATATGCATGAATGTGGCTTCTTTAAATCCTTGGTTGTCAGACTTCCATACAGCTTGATTCTCTGTCCAATCTGTGTGATAACTGTTTTGTAATCTAATTGTGATTTTTGCTATAGTTGTGCTGGGAGGTGAAGCATGTTTACCTCTGCCTCAATCGTGGTGGGAAGTTGTAGATTTTTTTAAGACAAAGGTATTGTGTTATTAATAGCCTGCAGTATAACCTTGACCTTTGTGGCTAATTTCTTGGGGGTCATCCTGCACAACAAAAGGTTGCGAGCTTGATACCTGATCAGGTTATATGGCTGGTTGCTGGTTTGGTCCCAGGTCGGGGTGCACCCCTTCGATGTTTCTCTCTCAAATCAATTTTTCTGTCTCTTTCTCCCTTCCTTCCCTTCTCTCTAAAAATAAATAAAATCATTTAAAAAGTATAATGCAGTACAGCACTGTTAACCTAACTTTATTATTCAGGGAAATTTTTTAAAAATTGTAAATTTCTGTATCGCAATATTCACTTTATTGTGATTTTTAAAAAGATTTTATTTATTTATTATTTATAGTTAGAGAGGGAAGGAAGGGAGAAAGTGAGAAAGAGAAACATCAATGTGTGATTGCTGGGGGTCATGGCCTGCAACCCAGGCATGTGCCCTGACTAGGAATCGAACCTGCAACACTTTGGTTCACAGCCCGCGCTCAATCCACTGAGCTACGCCAGCCAGGGCTACTTTATTGTGATTTTTGAAACCAAGCCTGCAGTACCTCCAAATGATACTTTTAAATGATTTTGCAAGTATTTGCTCCAGTCCTGTAGATTGCCTTTTTATTTCATTATGATAATTGCTGTTGTGCTCTATTGAAGCTTTTTCATTTGTTGTAGTCCAGACTGTTTGTTTTTGCATATTTTGTCTGGTGGATCTTGTCACATCCCAGAAAATCATATCCACAACAAATCTCTAAAGCTTCTTCTCTAAATTGTCTTGAAGAAGTATTAAGTTTTAGGACTGACAGTAAATTCTTTATGTAGATTGAGTTCATTTTTACTGATCGTGTCCAGTTTTGTTGTTTTACTTGAGAATATCCATTTTCTCCAGCACCATTTATCAAGGAAACTATCTTTTCTTTTTTATATGTCTTTTTGAAAAAGATTTTATTTATTTTTATTTTTAGAGTGAGGTAGGGAGGGAGAAGGAGAGGCAGAGAAACATCAGTGTGTGGTTGACTCTTGCATACCCCCTACCAGGGACCTGACCTGCTCCTCAGGCATGTGCCCTGACTGGGAATCAAACTAGCAACGCTTTGTTTTGCAGGCCAGCATTCAATCCACTCAGCCACACCAGTCAGGACTCTTTTTTTATAAGTCTTGAGGTTTAACTGTCAAATGTTAGTTGAAAGCCTGTGCCTGTGTTTATTTCTGTGTTCTCTGTTCTATTGATCTATATTTCTGTATCTGTTCCACTAACACACAGTTTGGTTGCTTTGGCTTTGTAACAGATTGAAGTCAGGAAGTGAGATGCCACCAAGTTTGTTCTTGCTCAAGATTGCTTTTGCTATTCGAAGTCTTTTGAGATTCTATACATTTCAGGATTTTTTTTATTTGTGTGTAAAATACCATTGAATTATCTTAGAAATTGCATTTAATTTGTAGATTGATTTGGGCAGTGTAGACATTTTGATGATACTGTATTTTCAATTCCAAGAACACCAGATGTCTTTTCACTTATTTGTGTTTTCTCCCATTTCTTTTATCATTGTCTCATGGTGTTCAGGGTACAAACACTTCACCTTTTTGGTTGAATATATTCCTGGGCGTTTTATTGTTTCTAATGCTGTTGTACATTTGACTACTCTCTTCATTTTTTTTCAGTCCCAACTCTAGGATATATATATATTTACTTTAAAGACTGAGGCAGGAGACAGAAAGAGAAAAAGAGAGAAATTGAACAATCGAACAGTTGTCTGTTCTATGTGCCAGTCCTGGTACCCAGCCCCCAACCCAGGTATGTGTCCTGACTGGGAATTTAGCCAGGAACATTTTCATGTATGGGGCAATGCTCTAACCAACTGAGCCACTTGGCTGTGGCCATTTCTTTTTTTTTTTTTTTAATTTGAATATTTTATTTATTTAGTTTTGGAGAGAGGAGAAAGGAGGGAGAGAAAGAAGGAGAGAAATATCAATGTGCAAGAGAAACATTGATAGGTTGCCTCTTGAATGCCCCCAATTGGGGACCACAACCCAGACATGTGTCCTAACTGCTAATCAAACCAGCAACCTTTTGGCCCACAAACCAGCACTCAATGCAGTGAGCCACACCAGCCATGGTTCTTTGTTTCTTTATTAAACAGTTTATTATCATTGTGTAGAAATGGAACATATATGACATATATGTACATTATATAATTGTATAGTATGTAGTGTATGTATAGTTATATATTATATAATAACATATAAAATATGTATAGTAAATTTTTTTAGAGAGAGGAGAAGGCAGGGAGAAAGAGAGTTAGAGAAACATTAATTGGTTGCCCTTTGTAGGCACCCCAACTTCAGACTATACCCATAACCCAGGCATATTCCCTGACCTGGAATCTAACCAGTGACCCTTTGGTTTGTAGAATGTCGCCCAGCCATCTGAGCCACACCAGCCAGGTTGGAACTGATATTTGTATGTTGATTTTCTATCCTGTAACTTTTCTGAATTATCTACTTAAAATTTTTTTTAAATATATTTGTTTTTGGAGAGAGGACAAAGAAAGGAGAAAAAGAGGGAGGGAAACATTTATGTGAGAGAGAAACATCAATTGGTTGCCTCTTGTATGGGCCAGAGCAGGACCTAACCCACAACTCAGGTGTGTCCCCAGTCTGGTAATTGAACTAGCGGCTTTTCACTTTGCAGAATGGAGCCACACTGTGATGGATTTTGTTGTCGATAGCTGTCTCCTTGTTCTGAAGGAAGGAAGAATTATCATGTTCATTATTAGGCCGTCTTGCTGAAGTCACTCATACAGATCTTTTTTCTTTGGTCTCTTTTGTGCTTTTTTTGTTTTACCAAAGTGCTGGCCATCCATGTCTTCAGTTTTGCTCTTAGACTTTATATCATCTGTATTTCATGTAATAGCTCAACTGGGATTTAAGGGGGAGAATCGCTTGTGTATCTCAGGATAAACATGACTTTATCCATGGCAGGGTAGACAGAGAGGTGTCCTTGCCTTGGTATACAGCTGCTGAACAGGGTTTGGTGAAAGGGCTTTGTTAAGGTCAAAAGTAGGAACTCATTTTGTTCAACAGTATTTTGTTTCCATTGCCAGTTCCTCACCCCATTATACTTACTCTTATTTATTGTTGAAACTTTGTCAAACTCTCAGTTCTAAGTTATCATTTCTACTCTGATTCCTAGCCCATGGATAACCTTCCTCTCTCTAAACTTTGCATCTCAGCCATTTATTTTACAAGTTCCATTTACTGCAGTTCAAACTTTGTCCATTCCTGCAGACCCTTGGAGTGCACATGATCATTATATGACCTTAAACATCATATGCTCCAATACAACTGATGTTTATGGGTTGGAGCTCATTCAAATTATTCTACACAGCCTTACATCACCAGCAGGAAAGGTCTTATAGAAGCCATTTGTGTAGGAACATTGAGTAGACCCTACCTCTCTTCTCTGTGTCGCTTTCTCTGCGCTCATCTCTCTCTTCATGAGATCTCTACCACACACTGACCACTGGTGCCAAGTAATATATAACTGCCATTTATTTAGAGTCTCACTCACTTTCCTTGAAAATCATAGAATCATGTCTAGCTATGACAGATAGCCGTGTATGATGTGGATATTTCTTCCTTATAAGGTCAACATTTATTTACCACCCTTTTTATTTTCTGTTCAGGTTGCTGCTGTGGAGCAGAGGGTGTGAAAGCATCAAATGAAGAAAATGTTTCTATAGAAGTGTCACAGGCAAAGAAACCTAATACACCTTTTTCTCCCTGGCATTGCCACCCCTGTGAGAGTTGTGGGCCAGTCTTGAGAGACATTTTTCACTGTATTGACCAGCAGGAAACACAACACAAACAGAAACTGCTGAGATGTGGAGCATGTGGAAAACAATTTTATTTCAGTACAAAGTGTCAGCCTTACCAGGAGCACCACATGAGAGAGAAGCCTTTCATGGGAGGTGTGGACAGGATGTCACTTGCAAAAAGTTGCAATTTTAATGTGTCCCAGAAGCTTTTTACCTGTGGGAACTTTGGGCAGGACACCCTTACCAGGTTAGGACATCAGCAACAGGCTACTCAAGCCAGGGACAGGCCAAATGATATCTTGACGTTTGGAGTGACTCCTCAAAGCAGCAAAAGTCATTACACACTGAATGAGTATAAAAAAGCACTTGGCTGCAACCACACATTTCTTGAGAACAAAGCTGTTCCTACTGGGACACAATGTTTTGTGTGTCATCAGGGTGAAAAATATTTTACCAGTATTTCTAGTTTTCATTATTGTCAGAGAGTTCACACTGGAAAGAGAACCCATGAGGGCAGTGAGTGTCTGAAATCTTTTAGCAGGCTCTATTACCTTCATTTACATCATGGAATTCACACTGGAGAAAGGAATTATGAATGCAGTGAAATTGGGAAATCTTTAATCAGTAGCACTAGCCTTCATTATCATCAGAGGGTTCACACAGTAGAAAAGCTTTATGAGTGCATTGAATGTGGGAAGTCTTTTACCACTAGCACAAGCCTCCAAGATCATCAGAGATTTCATACTGTAGAAAGGCTTTATGAGTGCAATGAATGTGGGAAATCTTTTACCAGAATTAATCACCTTCATTGTCATCAGAGAGTCCACACTGGAGAAAGGCCTTATGAATGCAGTGAATGTTGGAAATCTTTTACCACAATTGGTGATTTTCATCGTCATCAGAGAGTTCACACAGGAGAAAGGCCTTATGAATGCAGTGAATGTGGGAAATCTTTTACCACTAGCACTAACCTCCGTTACCATCAAATCTTTCACACAGGAGAAAGGCCATATGAATGCTTTGAATGTGGGAAATCTTTTACAACTAGCACTAGCCTCCGTTATCATCAGAGAAATCACACTGGAGAAAGGCCTTATCATTGCAGTGAATGTGGGAAATCTTTTACAAGAATGTATCATCTTTGTTGTCATCAGAGAGTTCACACTGGAGAAAGGCCTTATGAGTGCAGCGAATGTGGGAAGTCATTTACAACTAGCACTAGTCTCAGATATCATCAGAGATTTCACACAGGAGAAAGGCCTTATCATTGCAGTGAATGTGGAAAATCTTTTACCAGAATTAATCACCTTCATTGTCATCAGAGAGTTCACACTGGAGAAAGGCCTTATGAATGTAGTGAATGTGGCAAATCTTTTACCACTAGCACTAGGCTCCGTGTTCATCTGAGAGTTCACACAGGAGAAAGGCCTTATCAGTGCAGGGAATGTGAGAAATGTTTTAGCACTAGCACTAACCTCCGTGTTCATCTGAGAGTTCACACAGGAGAAAGGCCTTATTGTTGCAGTGAATGTGGAAAATCTTTTACCAGAATTGATATCCTTCGTTATCATCAGAGGGTTCATACATGAGAAAGGCCTTATAAATACAGAGAATGTGGGAGATTTTACAGTTGCACTACTTATCGTTACAATCAGATGTGGAAATCTTTCAACAAAAATGATAACACACATGACTTCACATGGAGGATTATCATAGAAGGGTAGGAATTGTACAGATTCTTTTTTTTTTTTAATGTTAATGCCAAAAGAAATTTTTTAAGCCTTGTTTATCTGAATCAAATCACATAGAGCCAATCATGTACATAGGGAGGTTCCACATATTTTTCTTCTGCTGCATTTCTATTTTTCTCTGTACATTTTATTTATTTTTAACATATTTTATTGATTATGCTGTTAGAGTTGTTCTATTTTTTTCTCCCAATTATTACCCTCTGTTCTGCACCCCACCTCCACCAGCATGCTCCCCCTTAATTCATGTCCATGGGTCATACATATTAAGTGTTTTTGGCTTCTCCATTTCCTATACTATTTTTAACCCTCCCCATGTCTAATTTGTACCTACCAATTATGCTTCTTCTTCCTTGTAACTTTTCCCCCCTTCTCCCTCCTCCCCCTCCCTGCTGATATTCCTCCATGTCATCTCCATTTCTGTGATTCTATTCCTCTTTTACTTGTTTCCTTAGTTTTTGTTTTTTTTTGGTTTAGTTGTCTTTGTTGTCATTTTACTCTTCATAGTTTTTGGTCTTTTTAAATAAGTCCCTTTAACATTTCATGTAATAAAGGCTTGATGATAATGAACTCCTTTAATGTGATGTTATCTAGGAAGCACTTTATCTGCCCTTCCAATCTAAATGATAGCTTTGCTGGATAGAGTAATCTTGGGTGTAGATTCTTGCCTTTCATGTCTTTGAATACTTTCCAGCCCCTTCTTGCCTGTAAGGTTTCTTTTGAGAAATCAGCTTATAGTCTTATAGGGACTCTTTTGTAGGTAACTGTTTCCTTTTCTCTTGCTGTTTTTAATATTCTCTCTTTATCTTTAATCTTGGCTAATGTAATTATGATGTGCCTTGATACGTGCTTCCTAGGGTTCAGCTTCTTTGGGCCTCTCTGAACTCCCTGGACTCCCTGGAAGTCTTCTTTTGCCAGATTGGGAAAGTTCTCCACTATTTTTTCAAATAAGTTTTCAGTTTCTTGCTCCTCCTCTTCTGGCATGCTTATGATTCAGATGTTGGAATGTTTACAGTTGTCCTGGATGTTCCTAAACCTCTCCTCATGGTTTTTGAATTCTTGTTTCCTCATTCTGTCTGGTGGAGTATTTATTTCTTCTTTCTGCTTCAAATTGTTGATTTGAATCCTGGTTTCCTTAATGTCACTGTTGGTTCCCTGTATATTTTTCTTTATTTCTCTTTACATAGCTTTCGCTTTTTCCTCCATTTTTCAACCATACTAAATCATTTTTGTGTGCATCCTAATTACCGGTGTTTTGAACTGTGCATCTGACAGGTTGGCTATCTCTTCCTCACTTAGTTCTACTTTTGGAGCTCTGTTCTTTCATTTGGGCCATATTTTTTTTTTGTCTTGGCATGCTTGTTACTTTATAAGGGGTGAAGCCTTTGGTGTTGGAGCGGACAGCCCAGGTTGCTGCATTGTAGCACTATATGTGGAGGAGGGGTCTGACAGGGAACAATGCTGCTTGTGTACATTCTAGGACCTTGTGGGTTTCTCCAGTGAACTCTCCTGTGAGGCTGGGAGTTTCTTCTGCTTCCGCAACCCCCGAAGGTCTTTGCAGCCAGGGGTTTTGAGGCTTTATTGTCCTCCGCTGGGACCGTGGCTTGCATGGTCTGTCTTGCTCCCCAGTTGTTCCTCCCAGTTTATCCACTCTCAAATGTGGGACCTCTAGGCCTTCACCTGACCATGCATCCTGTGTCCTGGCTGCCTGTCTCCGCCCCTCATACCAGTTTGAGTAATGTTTCTCCTTTAATTCCTTGGTTGTCGGACTTCCATACAATTCAGTCTTCTGACACTTCTGGTTGTTGTTTTTGTTTTTGGGTTTTTGTGGGGTTTTTTTGCTTTTAAATTTGTTGTTTTTCTTTTGTTTGTGTGAGGAGGCAAAGTGTATCTACCTACATCTCTATCTTGTCTCCATCCATTTTAAATTCCACAGCCACATAATTTTATTGTGTGGGAAGCCTGTGTCTAAGTTGCACCTCTCAGTTTACCCAAGTATTTTGCCAGATATCTCCATGTCATTCCATATTTCTGTAGTTGAAGATTTTTTAAATTTAATTTATTTATTATTAGAGTTGGGGAAAAGAGAAAGAAAGAAAAGAAAGGCAAATCAGTGTAAGGGAGATACATTGTTTGGTTGCCTCTCACAGAACCCTGCTGGGACCTGTCTGGCAATCCAGAGCTGGGACTGAACTAGCGACATGTAGGTTCACAGGCCAGCACTCAATCCACTGAGCCACACCAGACAGGGCAAAATTAGGAGTAGGCTAACTTATTTTTAGATTCTCATTCCTTTTTCACTCACTAGTTAATGCACTTTTAGCCCAGAGAATATCATCTGAATTCAGCTGTCAGCTTGCAGAAGGCCTGTTTATTTTCAGGGATATGCTCTTACCAGTTATCAGTAATAAATTTCTGAGTGTCCACATCACCCGTGCAAGAACTGCCATGCTTCCTTCTTTTTGGATTGTAATGTAATGAAAACCTTTTTTTCTGAATTCTTTGGGCATTCTGTGTATTGTCTGGGGTAGTTTGTAAGCAGATTTGTGATCTAGAAGCATGAAATGGTGAACAGTTGTACACATGTCTCAAACTTTCTCTGACTCTGTGAGTACAGTTTGTTGCAGAAATTAACTCAGCAGTTTTTCTCAAACTTGGATTCCTTCTTATAATCACCTAGGCAAGACTAGTGGGCTCTCTAGTTTTCATGAGAAGCCTAGATGCTATGAGTTTTAGGAGACACAGGATCACTCCAAGAGGGGGTATCTAAGACAACCTTAAGTATGTATAGATGCAGCATGAATTTTTCCTTTGCAAAGGATGCCAATATTTGGGGGAGAGAATCTTGCTCAGGTTTTGCAATAGGCTGTGCATCATAACAGTTGCATGGGTGATGATCACTAGTAGCTTCACAGGGATTAAGGGAAACTGATTGCAGCAGAAACACTGGCCTAAAGAGGTGCTTGAGGAGACTGCACCTAATTAGATGGAATGTGTGTCTTCTGAGTAGTAAGTAAAATTTTTTCAAAAAGTTGATCATTTTGGTCATTTATTAGGTGTTAATGTCAAAGCCATTGGTGCCCTGGCAGAAAAGAAAAATTAAAGGATATCTTTAGTTGAGGGATGTTGCTTCATGACCCACCCAGCATTCTTGCTGCTTTCATGACAGTTTTTTTTTTTTTTTATTGGCTATGCTTGCTCACTGAGGCAAAGTCTCTCCCAGCGGTCATGAGAACATGGATTGAATATAGACTTGCCAAACCTATATTCAAATGGTATTGGACATACAAAGTTTTCAAATATTGAATTATCTTTAAAAGTTTTAATGAATATCATATTTGAAGTATATTTAGTGAGTCTTCACATATACTTAAAATTGAAATCATCACCATAGTCATAATATTGATTCTATCTGTCCCTGGGAATTAGTGGCCTTTTTTATTTCTACCACCTCTTCGCCTGTCTGTAAGTAAACATTGATTTACATTTCCATATATGGAGATTTTTAACGGTAGTAGCTCATCTGTTTGGCTGAGAAATATCATTGCTATACCATTGCAGACAGGCCTTGTGAATGCAGTGAATATGGGAAGTATTTCAGAGGAAAGTGTAAACTTTGTTCTCGTCAGAGTATTCACACTGGACAAACTTCTTGGAATGCGGTGAATGTCAAAAATCTTACCATAGCACTATTCTCCATTATCATCAGGTATTTCACATAGGAGAAAGGCCTTATGAATGCAATGAATGTGGGAAATCTTTTATTCAAAAGCAGCAACTTCATTGTCATCAGAGAGTTCACACAGGAGAAAGGCCTTATAAGTGCGGTTAATATGGGAAATCTAGCCAAATTTCTAATCTTCCTCTGCACATAAGAGTTTATATGGGGGAGAGGGGAAGGTCTTAGATGTGTAGCAAAGGTACAGCATTTTTTCCCCATGTTAATACTTTAGGAAACTATGGAGCCTTGTTTGTGTGAATCAAATATACAGCCAAACATGAACAGTAGGAAGATGCCACATAATTTTTTCTATATGTGAAGCAGGTGTGTCCATGTCACACTTACTTTACCCAGGTCTCTTTTTAGATTCATGTCAGTTCAGATTTCTGTGCTGAAGATATTTCACCTGCAGCACCTATAGGGTTCTGAGAGATGTGTGAGTCATCATCCTAATGTGCTCAGAAAGGATAACTGTTACCCAATTTGTGAGGTAAAAGTAGGAGTAGCCTAACTTCAGGGCTTTATTCCTTCCACTCCTAATTGGCGCAGACCTGATTCAGTTTTGGCCCAGAAAAAGTCATCTGAGTACAGTTGTCAGTTTGCAGAAGGATGGCCTTTTTTGGGACATGCTTTTTTTATATACCAGTGATGACTTTTGAATTTCCAAGTCTAAGAACTGCCAAGCTAATATTCCTTTGGTTTGTAAAATAATCAAGGCCTTTTTCCTAAGTCTTTAATCTTGAGCGTTGTATTATTGTGTGTGGTAGTTAATAACAGTTTTTGACCCTACAAGCATAAAGACATGAACAACTTTTATATGTGTCTCAACCTTTCTCTGCCTCTGTGGGGACAATTTTTGCTACAGAAATTAATATGACAGCTTTTTTCCAGACTTGCATTCCTGCTCATATCCACCCAGGCGAGACTGGGCTCTCTGGTTCTCATGAGAAGCCTCAGTGCTGTGAGTTTCAGGAGACAGATCACTCCAAAAGGGAGTAGCTATGACAACCTCAAGTACATCTGGGAGCATCATGAATTCTTTTCTTCTTTGTAAAGGACACCAACACTTTTGAAGGGAGTTTCTGGTCCAGGTCTTCCAGATACCATGTGCCATAATGTCTGCAATTCCATAGGTGATGGTGGTTAATTGCAGCAACGTAGAGCTCTGGGGAAAATGAGTGCAACAGAAACACTGGCCTAATAGGTGCTGGAGGAGACTGCAGCCAACTAGATGGAATGTGCATTTTCTCAGCATGCATTTAGAAAATTTTCTGAGAAAAAGACTGCAGGATCAGTTTGTGTACAAACCTCAGGATCTGCAAGAATATTTATCTTCTGTTGATTCAGTCATTTTCATTAACTATAATCAAAAGGTTTTCTGGCCCTGGCGAGATAGCTCAATTGGTTTGAGTGTCATCTTGATATCCCATGGTTCTGATTTTGAACTCTGGTCTGGGCACATACAAGAAGCAACAAA